CACATCACCAAGCGCGAAGCGCCGTGAGATATTCGGCGAGTCGCATGAAGGGTACGCTGCATCCTGCTAAGGGTGTTCGGCATCTTGTGCTTACTTCCTTTCGTACGGATGACACCTGCGTATGACTTAATTTATTTTCTGGTGTTCATTTCCAGAGACAGTTATAAGCACTGTGTAACTGCCTCAAGGGTGCTTGACCAATTTAACACAACCTGGTGCGATCATCCCCCTTGCGCGGAGTGAGGCTTCTCCACCCCGCACATGATCTACTCAACCATCATTATGGTTACNTTTCGTACGGATGACACCTGCGTATGACTTAATTTATTTTCTGGTGTTCATTTCCAGAGACAGTTATAAGCACTGTGTAACTGCCTCAAGGGTGCTTGACCAATTTAACACAACCTGGTGCGATCATCCCCCTTGCGCGGAGTGAGGCTTCTCCACCCCGCACAACATGATCCACTCGACCACCATTATGGTTACCGCCAACAAAAAACAGAGCCACGGGGGGGAAGGGGTCCGAAACCTAGGTCATTCGCCGCCCCCTACCAATGTTACGTACTGGGGCGGATCTTTATGCCTCAATTGCGTGATGAGCTACCGGAGTACGTTTTCAAACAGCATGATGTGGGTGTTAAGTGTAGAATTAAGTGTGTGACTCGCCTCGACTACTTTCCCGGAGTTAACGGTGACAGTACCGGGCGAGGAGTGCAGTAGTGAGACTTGTCCTGCTTCTATCGGGGTGGCATTAACCAAGGGATGAAAAAAATCCTATATATTTTGTGATGACATGGCACGCACTGGTGGCGTTTTTGGCGTGGGGAAAGCTGACAGGAAAATATGGACTACCTTGGTACCGGGCGTGACACATACCTGTGGCGGTGCTTCAGCACACGTAGCATCGCTTGCACAGCCTGGACGCGGTCGGCCTGAGACGGAAGTGGCTCCAGCCCACCGACCGCGTACACGAGTTGCTTCCGGTGGTGGAAGAGCTCGTCGCTCTCGTCGAAAATGTCCCTGAAGGGCATTTCTTCCAAGCGTCCGATCTCGTTGCTGATCTCCGGGGCGACCTCGAGCAGCTCCAGGCCCTTCAGGTGGAGCGACTGTCTGTGTTCAGGTGTAACCAGCATCGCCCCTCCCTCACAGAGGCAGCGTTCGAGACAGCCACGCATGGCTCGGGCCCCCGCAAGCGTCAGGTTCACGTCACGGTTGAAGGGTAGTAGGAACAGCGCACATCCGAGGAGGGACCCAGTTAGGGCATGGTGCAGAAAGTCGAACGCTTCACCGATCAGGGCGCTCAGAAAATGTAAGCGCACCACGGCGGCATCCTGCCGATGCGTTGTCCAGTGCAGAACTAGCAGCGGCAGGATAACCCGCGTCTTTCCTTCTCCCATGTTCAGTTGCACGATGTCACCGGGGTGATCGATCATGTGAAGGGCTACCTCGGCTTGAGCAGGTCGGATTTGCAGCCCTGAGTCGACTTCAAAAGCCAGCCATCGCGGATATGCTTCCGGAGACCACGTTCTCTTCACCTGAAAGGAAACGATTGCCGCAAATGGGGGATGAGCTTGGATGGCCTCTACCACGCCAACAGACAGCAGTTATTTTCGTATGGGGTGAATGACATTGCCTATCGCCGAGAAGTGCAGTCACTACATTGTTGGTTGGTATTTCAGTTTTTTGCATAAACCCTTCGTAATCGGCGTGATGTGCACTGAAAACATGTTCTCCATCTGTTCCAACGTATTTTTCTGGAATCAAGCATTGAAGAAAATGTACTGTCAACTTTGGGTGTCTCCCCCATTCCCTTTCTGTTGTTCATGCTCGGGAAAATTCCTCTCCGCCATGAAACATGTAACATGGAGCGTCACCTGGATCTCCTGCCACACTAATGCCTCCGCTCCTGGCTTTACTGTCCACCGCTTGAGCCTGCCCAACTTGTCTTCGAGCACGCAACACCGAAGCCACAGCACCACGGCCGCCTCTATCTCCGTGGAGGCCTCCTCCGTCAAGAACGGGTTGAACGTTCGAGCACGCCCGTCCGACCAAAGGACCGAAGGCAAGTCTTCGACGGAAGGGGTAGGCAGGAGGTTGGCCAGGCGCTCAATGTGGTACGACGTGGCATACCTATCGTCCTTTCCAAAGTTGACGAGGGCGCCGAGCAAGTGCTGCTCAAGCCGTTCCCGCATCGATGAAACCTGCCTTAGCTTGTCGCTAAAGTCATCTCGAAGGCGCTGCAGCACCGCCGAAGGCACTGGTGAATGTTGCGGTGGAGACAGCTGGTGTGTCTCCCAGCTGCCGCGCAGCTCGGCGTGCATGTCCTTTGTTAGAACATCGCCGTCTAGGGGCACTTCGAGTGGATAGGCGTGCCCCGTGCGTGAAACATCAGAAGCAGGAGTAGTGCTCGCCAACATGACGTCCTTCATCTCCCACACAGCAACCTCCGCAGCGTGGACAGACTCCGTGCGTACCGGGCAGCGTGGCAAGTCGACCGAGCCGAACTCGAAAAAGCGCCTCTGTCGCATGAATGGGCGAGCGCCTGCGATCCGACCGCCGAAGATTCTCACCTCCTCGACGGCGGTAAGACGCCGTCGAATGTTCCACCGAGAAGTCTCACACTCTCCCTCGTAAGCAGTCGCTGCGTCTTCTAGGCTGCGCAGAAGCCCCGATGGCAATGGTCCGAGCGGCTCTGTGGGGTGCAGAAAATCGACACAGTTGCTACTCTCCAGCAAATCGCCGCACAGAAGCGCCAAAGCCGGAGTCGTGCCGGATAAATCCAGCACCGTCAGCAGCTGGTCTCGGTCACCGGGCTGCAATGGGTGGTTCACGGCGCACCGACGGACGAGCTCGATGGCCTTCTCGGAGCCGGTCTTGCCCGCCCGGGGGTCAGGCAGGAGCGTGCCGGTGGCAGCAAACATTGCCGCAAGCTGAAGCCGAGCCGATAAGCCACCCGCGTCCGGTTGGTTCCACCGCCGGTGCAGGCTGTAGGAAAACACCTTCATCTCGGCGTCTTCGCTAGCTTCGTTGCTGCACTGGATCCACACTCGCGGTGTGGCTCCCTCCCTCACCGCCACACTGCCTCGAGGAACAACGATCTTTGTGTCCCCGTCTTCGCGAACAAGGACCAGGTAGCGGCTCAGCTCCGGGAGAGTGTCGTCGAGCTGCTGGGCGCACGCCAGCTGGTAACCGCGGTGGCTCGCGCAGTGGATACCGCTCGCGTCTTCACGTCCTCTGGGATCGTTCGGCGGAGGGTCGACTTTGAACTCGAGCTCAAATCTAGGCAGGTCGATCGTCAGCCCACCGTCGGGCTGCAGGTAAGTGTGGATCACCGCGTTCTGGCCGAAAGCCCGAGGCTCGAACTTCGCGAAGGTCTTCATCACGATGTTGTCCGCGTCGGCGAGGACAAGCTTCCCACTGGAACCGAGGCATTCTCCCTTCCCTTCCGCCTCCAACAGAATCTCATTCCATTCGTGCGATCGAAGGTGAGGGGGCACAAGATAGAACGAGACGGGACCGCCGTCAGGTCGACTGCACCTCCCGACGAAGAAGACGTGGCGCGCGCTGAACTCAATCGAGCGTAGGACGATGGCGTTGTGCTCCCGGCACAGCCAATGGCTGTGCATGCTCCGAAGCCTGACGGGCAGTTCCTTTGCCCAAGAGCCGTCGGGACGCAGCAATTCTAGGCGTTCTCCAAGACGTTCGTCGAACTCTTCCACCACCAGCTCACCGCTCACATCTACACGCGAGAATTCGTAGAATCGGCCATCGCCCGTCCGGGTGGTCCTGAATGCTCCGCCTGAAGCAAAGGAGACTTCGAACCTGGCTTTGCCAAAGACTCTGCGATAGAGGTCATCCTTCGTGATGTCCCCCGGCAAGCGACTTGGTGGCTCCCCGTCAAACAGCACTACGCCTGTCAGAAGATTGACGGTGTAAAGATGCCCTTCGTGCTGCGCCTCAAAACACGCCGTGCTGCCCGATATCGGGTTCCATGCAAGCTGAGTCGGTGTGTCCTTCAGCACCAGCCGGATGGCGGTGGTGAGGAACCCGGGATCGATCCTAGCCTGCTGTACAATATCGCCCCTTCGCTTTGCCAGCACATTCAGGCATCGGACCTGGAGAGCGGAGCTTTCCGCCTCTAGCTCTATCCATCCCTCTGCAAACAGGCGACGGTTGTGTGCAAGAATCTGTAGCTCGCACAGCTGGGCGGTGTCGGCAGCGGAGAGAGACGCACTACCACCGTAGCACAGTACGCCGTACATGAAGTACACACACTGCTTGGCAATCAGGGAAGAAACGACCGCGTCTCCGAGCTGGTTCGCCTCAGCTTCGTCGGCCTGGCGGTAGGTATCAATGGCCCACTTCCGGGGAATCGCCACCAGCTTCGACCGAACAAGATCCTGACAATTGCCGTTCCAGTGGCCAACGTAAACTGCCACATCAACAAGAAGCTGCATCGTACGGTGTTGTCGTGGTGTGTGCTCGATCTCCTCGATACGAACCTGACCAAAGAGCAAGCGGGTTGAACATATTACGTTCGGAAAACGAATCATGAGAACGAACTATTGGCGGTCTTACAGGATGACCATTCGGTCATCGCGAGACACTTTATTTGGCCAGACCTCCCTGCGCAGTTTCTTTAATTCGTTGATAGTCCTATCGGTACTTTTCCTCGGAATCTTGGTGCAGCCATCGATGTCCAGTTTGAAGTAGTCGAGGATACGCACATTAGAGTTCGCGTTGATGCGAGGACTTTGGAGGTGCACCGCTGGCAGCTACTACAGCTGGCATCGTGAGACATTCGTTTACACGTAACAAGATCAAGCGAATGGGTGGCACAGAATATACATGTACGTAATCGGGTATGTGTGGAGTGCGTTAGTGCAACGCTACGGAAAGATCTCCGGAACCATAGGTATTGCACCTTCAAGTATCGAGTGCAAACTGTCTATCGCGAGAAGTCAGCAAAAACAAGACGAGGGTATTCTAAAGCCCGTATCGTTTGTAGTAGTTGCGCCCCCCGTAACAATGCACACCTGTAGCTCGTCGACTAGCGTAGAAAAGATGTCCTCCTGGTCATTTCGCCAGAGCAAGGTCGCCGGGGAGGAATCGGAGAGCTCCCCGATATGGAAAAGCGCTTGAGACATCAATGTGCGAACCGCAGGGTGATCCAGAGGCAAGCTGCGATCACGGAGCACCAGGGCTAGCTTACGAAGCTGCTGCAACGGATAGGCCCGCAACCCGCCAAACGCGAGATATTCCCGTTTGCTGAACCCTACCGCGTCGCCCTGGCTCGCGATTGAAATGTTTCCTCTTTCAGCGCTCGTCTTGCCGATACCGTACTGCGGCATCGCCCATTGCAGCGACTGGTCCTGCTCTAGCAACTCCTCCGTGAACCCGCGCACTACCCACTCCGGACGGACATTCGGCGAAAGCGGGTCGAAGCAGAATTGCCGAGAAAACGAACCCCCTTGCCACAGCATGTAGCCCGGGGCCAGGGAATCTGGGTGCCAAACGCCATCTGAGGGGTCCGTGCATCTATCCACCATCGTCTCTGGTTGCCCTAGGTCCCCGCAGTACCCGAGTTGGACGCCCCCGTCGTGACCCCGTACCGCAGGTTGGTGGCTGTTGTAGTATGCCGACCAAAGGTCCATGTTGGCCGTCTTCACGGCATCCGTGACGTTGGCGTCCCAATCCCGTGGCAGGATCATCTGCTGGGCCTGGAAACTCAGGTACGATAGTGACCGAAACTCAACCGGCATGTGCAAGAAGAACAGCACCCGGAGCGCAGCCTCTCTGCATTGCGGCAACGGCTGTCGCACCGGCAGGAGAGTCTTCGCCTCCCTCACCTTCCATTTGATGGTGGCAATCTCAGCTTCAACATACGAACAGGCGAGTTTCAGGCTCCTGCAGTTGCTGCATCGGCGGCATGTACAACCACCCGGGCAATGCAGATGCCTACGACAGCCGCGGGTCTTGTTAGATCGTCCGTCAGACGATGTATCCCTCGAATGTCTTGCCAGTGCGAATGCTGCTTGGTTGTCAGCTAGCTCCTCATCATGCGATAGGAGTTCCATACGGAGTTGGACGAGCTCCGCTTGCTGGGCTTCCACCTTGGCCCAGTGCGCATCGCGGCGGCGGTTCGCGGCCACCACCTCGCTTTCCCATATTCGCTGCAGGTCGGGACTTCCACCTGCCACCTTGAAAGCCAGACAAAACGTCGCCCTCCCTCCATCGGCTAAGGAAAATATTTCCTTCTCTGTCCCGCGGTTGGCAGAAGTGAGGTAGTCTGCCAAGTTCAAAGCAGCGTCGACCGCCAGCTTGTCGGCTAGCACCAAATGCTGAAGATCAGCCGCCCGTAGACAAACGCCGAACTCCTCCATTTCCTCCGGCCACAGCACGCCCCGAGTTACGGCGAAGGCAACAGCATACGCTATCAGGCATACCAGTGTCTCTCGAGAATGGCGTTCGACCACCATGCAGGAACCACCGTCTCCCGAATGGGCGTCCAGAAAACCGGCAAGCACGGACCTGTACGTATTCACGAGGGCCTTGAGCTCCACAAGGTCACCAGCCCGTAGTGTCTGAGCGGCACTTTCGATAGCCGACGAAGCCGCGGTTGTGAAGAGCAGACCCTCCACTTCCGCCAGTATTACCTGCGCTGGTAGTTCCCCGCTCAAGCCATCACGTATAACCCAGCTGGTGATATCGGCCATGCTTTCCGAGGTCAGCGTCGTGAGGGCTTCCCGGGTGAAGCTCGGCAAGGGCGAGAGATTCTTAGTGGAACGCGATCGTGCCTCATCTAAGCCTCCTTCACCAGCAGAGCGGCGTGGCAGCGGGGCGGAAAGCACCACTTTTGGAAGCCGCAGGTGACCATCCGCGAAGGCATCTGTCCCGTTCGAAATATTGAAGTCGGCAGCGGCCGACACCATGCGCTCCGACCTGAGACTGCTCAGGCTTTGGCGGGCTTTCTCGACCCTTTTTGCAACCCTCGGCATGGCGTCGCCATCATCGGCGAGAACTCCAGCTCGGTGCGCAGCCGACTCCAGCATTCGCATGCCTTTGTTGAGGTCCTCTGCGGCCCCTGATAGACGAACAATGTGCTGCTCGAGCAAAGTCAGGTAAAAGTCGGCGATCACCACATCGAAAAGAACTCCCAGCAGATCGGGGCCACCTCGAGGATACCCGGGGGCGTTGACGTTCCCGTGGCGTATCAGCCCAGCCTGAGTACAGCGATACGCGCAACAATACACCCGTGAGGCTAGATTCGCGCTTGTACTGCTGTGCATGCCGCGTGTCTGCAATGAACAGCACAATCACCTATTGTTGATCGAAGAACCACATGTTTGTTGATTTCAGATTTTCCATGCTCCTCACATTCGTTCGAGTGCTGTGGACTTAAATACTGGGAAACATCTTGCAACGCCACTAAATCGAAAAGGGTGACTGACGCCCGTTGCGGGTCTTCTTGCCGGAAACTACGATATGGTTGCTGCAAAATGAGAAGACGGCTCCAGAGGTTGCGCTTCCGACGCGTTCTGGCAGGGACAGACATATGCAGTCATCTACTTCAGTGTAATCGTGTTCCGTGCTCAGTCTTCGTCGGTTGGGCCAGAACGAATGTTTCATCGAAGGTACTACATAGTAAGGTGCAGATGACCAAAAGTGTGAATATCAGCAGCTCAACCATGTCCTATTCATATTGACGTCGTGAACGCCTGAATTTCAGATTGGGCGCTTATCCTCTTGTCGACGGTATCGGTATGAATCCACCCAGGCGAACCGCTGATGCCAAAATTGAACTGCATTGCCTGCCAAAAACAGCTCCATATACAGCAATTCCAAATCAGCGCGGCCGCCTGCACGACGCATTCGACATCATTGAACTGGACATGGGTGGCATCATTATTAACTATACACGCTCGGCGACTGCCGCCATTTCCTGCATCTTGTTTCATAGTAATACTTCAGCCTCTAAGTGATCTGCTGCTTCGGGCTAAGAGACACTTAATCACAATGAACACGTCACCTCCGTGAGAATATGTGTTGTCGATATCGATTGCCCCATCAAACTCACTACTCTTGACCGTCTTTCAATCGCATGCTCCGATTCGCATGCTTTTATCTGGTCTCAGTGATCCTCGTGGATCGACAGTCAATACCTCTACCCAATCAGTGGTCCCCGGCATGATGGTTATCGCGTTGTGGGCTATTTTGACCAATACTACGAACACATCGGCGATGGGAGTCGATCGGATTCGCTTCTGCTCTGTGAAATGCTTCGCGGTCACAAAAATATTCACTCGGCCTGTCACTCGAGGGCACGTTGCTGCGAACAACAGCACTGTAATTGTCAAGGCAATTGCGGCTCAGTGTAGATCGGACGTACGTGTGGAGAAATGCGCAAGCCGCTGATGACCAATACTAAAACATGTGGATTACGCAGGGTAACAGGCTTGCTTTTTTTCAATCGAACAAGCCACACACCTGAAAAACGGCGAGAGTCAGCGGCCACGCAGTTTCCCTCGGTCTGCCGCCTGTGTGAAGACCGACGTCGGTGAAGCCCCCTCGAGGTGGGTGACACGCGCTCGCTCCGTCGAGGGCGGCTTTCGCGTCTCGTAGTAAGGCTTCGATCATGGAAGGGGTCTTTTGGTGGCCTTGCTTGCCTCCTACCGCAGTGCGTTTGTCGCCATGCCTCTCACTGGCCTGAGCTAGGTTCTTGTTGAGGTTTCTGAGCAGAAGGTCAAGGTTCGCCTCTTCAATGATTCCCACGTGAACGACGGAAGGGCTTCCAGCATCCGATCCGTATTGAAGGGTGCTCGGAGCGCTGGCACATGCAGGCAGGTGGCATTGAAAACAAGGGGCGAGAGGAAACCAAGGCTTAAGCCTTAGACAAGGGATATAGCATAAAGGAGGCAACTAGTTCAAAGTATAGAAGAAGGTTTGCGATGGTGCGCGGTAGGTGTAAAAGTGACTGCAAACTTTGGGCACACATTCCAGCACCAAGACTCATATACTCTATGGAATGACATGGAAGTTCCAAGATATGCAATGGAGTCCCACGGTGCGGAAGCATTGCGCGCGAAACCGTTTGCGATGGAAAGTCCTACCGTCATTGCTCCGCCGGGATTCCCCTGCAGTATCGCATTCGGGAAGTGGTAGCTCAGCAGCAGCGTTCGCGTAGCAGGAATGCGTAGATTGCACCTACATTGTGCAACCATACGTAGTTAGGGTAGGTATCGGTAGATTTTCACAGAAAACTCGGATGTTCGACGTTTTCCACAGATTATTCTCATTGAAACGTAACAAAATATCCACGGAAAACCACAGGATACTCCATAGCGTCTCACGGGAAGTTGCACCGTCATTCCCAAGGATTTTCACAAGGAGTTTGCCACGAATTTCTAGGGCGACGATACTGATTCATTTCATTCGTTCGACATTCCTGTGGATCTCCCGGAGCGTCCACGGCACCCCACGTCAAGAGGTGGGATGTCGTGCGGGGAACCCTCCGTGGACCTCCATGAGCCATCTTTTGACTCCCCGGAATGACCCGTACAAGCTCGTTGCGTATTTGAATATGATGAGCAGCTTGGCTTGCAATAAGGTCGGCCCGCGGGTGAACCTGGTGGCTGCTGGAGCAGATGTGGCCAAGATTTTCGAACTTTCTCAATGAAGAACCGGCGTGCTTCAAAGCGGAAATTTAGCACCGGTGTGGAGGGCCACATGCTTCGTTCGCCGTTTGTTGACACCACAAGTGAATCGAGTTCTCGAAGTGACTGCGGGGGGAAGCGAGAATGAAGATGGACCATCGCCACGTCGCTATTCCATTCAGAACCGCATATGGCGCATCGAGATTCGTTCACTAGCCATTTCACATGGTGGAACGAACACATTACAACACCTACCGCGTTCGTACATGAGTGATCATGTGCTACATAACCTTGTTTCCCCATGTTTCACCCGTCAAATGGGTGGGTTGGTGATCTACTTCCTGGACACTATCTCGTAAACAATGTGACCCGGTCGAGCCGACTGTCGCAGGTCATCAATGACACGCTCACTCAATGCTGTTGAGTGAACAGATGGCGGTTTCACCCGAGTCGTGGTGACCTTGAACTTGAGGTTGACTTCACCTCAAAAACTAGGGTCACGTACCACATGCAGTGCCGTATCATTGAACAGGTCTGTGAAGGAGGTAATGCAAAGTGCTACATGCCAACACGTCACTACATTCAACATTTCGTGGTCTGCCGTGAAATGTCTCTGTTCGCGCAGCGACGATTGTAGGCCTGCAGTAACTCCTCACGCCTCTCCCAGGTGTCCGAACTGAGCTCCGATGAGTTGGGGTATCTGTATTTTCACAGCGATTCTACAGCTGGAGCGTCCCACTATATTTCGGGGAATTCCGTCTGTGGCGTTTGTAAAGATTCGGCATCTGCAAAGTCAATGAACATGTTTCTGGGAATTGCTTTTATGTAGTGAATATTGCGATCTTCTACGGTAGACACCTGCTCGGGTGCTTCTGAGACATATGGAGGTTGAGTCCGTTCGAGAGTTCAATGGCGACAGGTGCTTCGGTGACAAAAGTCAAACGAAAGATTACTCGGACGATCTATTGCTGCTTTCATACGAGACATTCAGTGTGAATATGTAGGAGGTAGAATTTCAGCGGCCTGGCATGCCCTTCCTCTTCAAGGAAGTTCTAGCTGTTCACTTTTGGTGAAACCACTGAGTACGGCCGAATGACGATGTTAATTTTTCACACGGTAGAATGAAAACCTTTTTCACTTTTAATGATTTTTGTGTATTCAGAACGAACGCAAAAGCCCTAACTCTAGCGTTCATGGATAAGGCCCTGTTTGAATCGATTGCATTTCGTGTTCCGGGTGCGGGCGAAATATATAACTAGGTTGACGTGGATCACAAGAGGGCACAGCGAATTTCATCCGAGTAGGACACATACAACTGAATTGGTTGTCGAGAAAAAGTAGACCTTATGGGTGAATGCAGTAGTACCAGCAGTGAAAGCGAGGGGTTCAGGCACAAGGATGTTTCAGGAACGATCGGAATAGTCCGCGCCGCTTCATTCTGTTGTGTGCTGAGAAGTAGGAACACAATCTACAAAACAAAACCGACCACCGTTCCACCAGCCCGTCACCATCACCATACCTGGGAGGGTTCAACCAGCGCGAAGCGAGCTTCCAGTTGTCGAGACCGACAAGCGACAGGTTCCGGCGCACGAGAGGCCCGCCCAGGGCGCACGGGCTACCAATGGCGAGCAGTGCACAACCATACTCGGGGAACCACTTCACACTTCTGCCGTCACTCAGAAACGCAGAGGTCTTGGCCAGTGCTGAATGCCAGTCGATATCCCCGAGAAGGTCGTCGCACCCTGGGAGTTCCTGTGGACGTCAAGCCGAAACGCGAGACATGTGAAAAGATCGACTAACGTTCGAAATATCATACCGTTCATGAAGTGAATATGGAATCAATCGCCCTCCCCTTTTTCGAGTGTTGTAGTTGATTGCTTTTGTAGGCAAAAAGGTCCGCAAGGGTACCCGGAATCCGACTGGCTTGCGGCGAGTCGATTCTTTCCTTCACGGCCTACTGTGCATGATTACAGCAGTACTGGGTGGTTCCGTCCGATAGGTCGCTCGGACCTCGACAACAAGTGATTGTATGCATACGGCTGCTCCTCCACCTTACTTGTTGAATGGTTGCTTCTGGCGGATGGCGGGATTTGGAGCCGTTGTTCTCTTCCACACAAATCAGACACCTTTTTGGTGGTGCCGAACAAAAGCGAGAGAACCATCGTTCTCGACAGATGTTGAGGAGATTGCATCCATCACGACGGGTTTCACCGACAGTACGACATATTTGACCCGAAATATTTGAACCGAAAACGACCAGGACGCAGGAAGTTTGATGCAGACCACAGCAAATAAATGCTCGCGGCAGCATGTAGCCGTTTTTGAGATATGCCCCAGTTTGAGGAATGGTTCTTCGTGGAGCTTTCGATGTTTTTCTGTTGTATTCTTGTCCATTACCTAGATCATTCAATGTAAGTATTTGATTGGGTTGGGTAAGGCCTCCTGCACCGGCCTATGGTCCCGGCCATTAATTTCCTGTTGATTGTCTGATCTACCATATGGTCTATTGCTTTGACCACACAGGCCTCTAAGGTAGGTCTCTCCCCACGCAAACTTTCTTATTTTCGCGGCGCGCCCACACAGAAAATCGAATGTGTGCGTGGCCGGCCGATAATCGGCAACGTGTTTTAGTCAGGGTAGTACTCGCTACGGCTCGTCTTGGAACCCGCCGTTCCTACCCTAGCAGGCGCCACGTGCGACGCCCTCGGTACGCCGCCCGGCAATTTTCATGAGAACAGCGATCGCAGGTCCATCCAGCAACTGTGCCACACAACCCCCGTCCCGAAAGGAGGGCATCGTGTAGCAGTGTGGCAGCCCGTGACGTCCGCGCCCGCAACCACGGCGTCTACGGAGTCATGGAAGGTCTTACCAAACTGGCAACTGAAGATAAGATCTTCCCCCGCCGGCATCCGCAGAATCGGAGATCCCATCATGAAGGAGAGATCGTCGTGGCCGCGAACGCCAGCGAGAACAAAGCGACGTCCCTGGTATGCTCAAATGCGTACCACAAAGGCGACGCAGATTGTGCCCGAAAGCGCATGTCCCTCAACAAATCGAAGAGCATATGCGGCAACATCGCTATTCGACAAACATTACTTTCCTTCCTCGTAAACATGAGGTGGCAGTCTACGAGGGGACTACGACACGGGTTGCCCGACCGCGTGACAGGGTCTCAACTGCCGCCCAACTGCTTTTGGATCGCCATCTCAACTTGGACACGATCCCTTCCTGCATCGACGCGGCTGCGTGCTGTTAGCGCATTGCGAAACTAGAAGGCATGAGCGGCAATGTATCGAAGCTAGTCTATACGCCAAAGCATGGCTTCGTCGTGCAACCACTTGGTGCCTCTACGTTGTGTGCCCAAGAACCACAGTCGTTTGAACGCGTCTTGGTCCGAGGCCTGCGTTCAGCAACAACGTTGTGCGGTCGCCGAAGCCACGAGAGCAACGGCGACCAGCTGCACTTTCTCCCAGAGAGCACGGAAAACCCTCGGGGTTTAGTCGAATGATGCTTTCGCGCCAGGACAGAGAGATACCATCAGCGACGACATGGGCATCCAACGGGTACTCAACCTGTAGCTCCAACAAACGAGCAAACAATACATGGGTTTCGGGGTTGTGCGCCCACCCCCGGTTGAACGATCCTTACACCGCGATGTTAACGACGTCGATGAAGCCTTGAGCCCGCTGCAAGTCAGTCGGTAAGCGCGCACGGAAAGAGTCGCGACAACTGGTACAACGCAAACATTTCCTTGTTGGTGTGCTTGTGCAGCCAATCATTTGGGATCACACCACCAGCGCGGTACTGCGCTCCCCCGATGTTGACAACGCCACCCCAGCCTAGGGAAGACGCGTCCGATGATGCGTCAAGTTGGACGATGAGGGTTGCATGCTCGCTGTCAGGTCCTTCGTGCGAGGAATCCGTCAGAGAAAGCCGCTTTAGAAACTCTTCCCGCAGGTGCTCGTTAGCGTCACATGCCAGACTGTGGTTGGTTTTGACCATCTGGGAAGGACGGCAACCTCGCATGCGTCCAAAGTAACGCCCGTCGGACTGCCACAGTCATGGTCATGCACTTGCCCGCAACGCGTGGCGGCGTTCGACAAGCATCGATCGGCGAGAGTGGACACGTGACTTGTCCAGCATTTTCTGGAGAATCCGGAACGTCATCGTGTCCTAATCGCGGATGATATCGAATTATTGAAAGGCCGTGACTGGCCCAAACCTCGCACTTCTTGAATGCCAGGAACTGTCGAGATCTCTCTGCCCCCCCCCCCCTTTTTTTTTTTCGAAGAGGAAACCTGGGCGCTGAGAACTGACAGCACGAGTTCCCGTCAACATAGAAAGGCACACAGCATTGTATTTGTAATTCCTTTTCGGGGCCCAATTTCTATGGCGGCGTGTGAAACTTCGTTACGAAGCAACCGTCGATTCGATGCTGTGTATCCAGGCGTACCGTCGAGAAAATATGACAGCGCACGGACCAACTAACACAAAGTTTCGCCGGGCTTATCCAAGTGTAAGTCTACCTACTCACAGACGGGAATGCTAGCTACGGCGGAGTTGGTGTGCATATGATTTGGTGTGCACCACGAGGTACGTCAGTACGCGAGAGGCACAGGAACCAATTCGGCATGTGACCATGTGTTTACATGAGACAACCCGAACGATCACTACTTATTATTTGGTGGTTGTGTGGTGTGCGCGTTGGACACGAAACCCCAAGGGAAAAAGACACCACCGAACGGCATGTATTTGTGTGGTGTGCACGTTGGACACGCAATCCCAAAGGAAAAAGGCACCACCGAACGGCCGTATGTGGCATATGTACGAGGCACCAGTTACATGAGATGTACAAGACAGCAAGTGACGGGCGCGCAGACATTCCCTAGTTGGGAGGGACACCTCCAACCCGGCGGCATGCGATGCGGGTGAGGTGAGGTGTTATGAATATTATCCGCGAACAACACCAGGTACGAGGCAAGAATACCGGAACCCAAAGAACGAAAGGGCATGCGGCAGCAGGCAAAAGAAGACCCCGGAGAGACAAAGCACCCACCGGCAAGCCCATGTATCACTGTGTCTACCAAGGGCAGACCCCAGCCGGTATTGTGGTATGGGCAACGCTAAGAACGAGTAATTCCGAAGCATAAGGGGGTCGGCGATGACGTAATTGTAATGGCGTAGTGGAACAACGGCGTGTACAGCCAATGAGACGTAGCGGCAGGACACCGGCAGCGGCGCGGCGCAATGACGCCATTTCATCACAGCGATAACAGCTGGGAAACGAGGAATGACCACATCGGCGTGTGGAAGTGCAGCAGTCACATCGTGAGTACAACTGTATGTGCAATAGATGAATAACCGTGCGTAACAGCCACCAAGGGGGAACTGTAACCAAGGAAATCACATCAGCGTGTGGTTATACAGCATTTTCCGACACGAACGATCGCACAGCGTGTACCAGCCAACACAACGCAAACCTTCTGCGGGGAAAACATCAGCGTGTCTGTGTGCAAGGATTTCGTCATGAGACCAACTGCTTGTTCAATGATAGCTGGACAAAGGCGTGTAACAGTCCACAATTGTAACGGTGAGGAAGCTGACAATCACATCGGCGTGTGTGTACAGAAGGGACAAACACCAAATTCAAACAAATCTACCGACAGTCGCGAGCATAGCGGCGTATGCTAAAGGCAGAGTCTGCTGCGGCCAAAACATCAGACAGAGTGTCTTGCTGGCATTTCGTCATGCGGCAAATGCTTGTGCAATGAAAGCTATAGTCTACAACGGCGTGAAATAGCCAACAATTGTAACGGTGAGGCAACTGACAATCACATCGGCGTGTGTACCGTAGTGACAAACACCGAACAATTCTACCGACGGTCGCGAGCATATCGGCGTATGCTATAGGCAGAATCTGCTGCGGGCAAAACATCAACGTGTCTTGCAGGGATTTCGTCATGAGTCGCGAGCATAGCGGCGTACGCTATAGGCAGAGTCTGCTGCGACCAAAACATCAGCGCGTCTTGCAAGGATTTCGTCATGAGGAGATAGCTAGGCAACGGCGTGTAGCAGCCAACAATCGTGAGCAAGAACTGGACACCAGAATGTAGCAGCCAACAACGGAGCGGTGAGGCATAACAACCTCATCGGTGTATGTGGGAGTACATCATCAGTAACCAAAACCAAGAACGCCGTACTCAGAGCATGCTCAAACTCGGTTGGTGAGTACGGCTGAGTAGGTTTGAAATACCTACTAAAACGCCGGAGTACGGATGATGAGTATTTTCGAAATACTTACTCACAGGCTTCATTCAGTAAAAGAAGAGTTTCTGTGAAGTACTTACTCAAGGATTTACTCAAGGTTGAGTGATTAGTCTATACTCGGGTAGCTGAGTACGCATGAGTAGATAATGAAATACTTACAAGGCTTTATTTTGTATTTGTTGAGTATTTTGGAAATGTTTACTCAAGGGAGCACTCAACGGATTAAAGGGGTATTATTAACGACCAAAAAAACACGGAACATGTCACGGAAGCATTTTTGCGTGAACATATATGGAGGCGTTGTTCCCCGAAAACGTGAAAAGAAGGAGCCGGGATTTTTTGGGGCAGGGCACCCATAAATAGGGGGATTTTTTGTCAGACCCGGAAGAACTTCCAACAATTGTCTGTGTTTCAGAGGAGTAGAGTCGGGTAGATGCCCATCTCCCAGCAATCACCCGTCGAGTTTGTAAGACATTTTTTTTTTTTTTGCCTTCAGACAATTGCAGATGTACCTCAGAAAACTTTCACTTAATGTCTCATACTCTACATGGATATT